AAATATACATTTTTTGTAAACGCGCCCAAAAAAACTACTCTACGGGTAAAATTAATAATTTTTTGTAATCACTATTTTCGAGAGATTCATAATAACTATGAGATTTGTGTTTTTGAGAGAGCTTTAACAACAAAATTTTTGGAATATTTTTACAACGATTTGTCCGCTAAATCGGTATTTTAGGCGTTTTGAACAAAAGTAACTATTTTATCTAGTTGAGAAAAGCACATTTCTCGATGTTGTACTATAATAAAATTAAAAATGAAATATTTATTTTACAAATCGACTGACTTAAAATTTACACAAGTCATGTAATAAACAATTTAATTTCTCTTTTTATTGTAGAGATATTGAAATCAACATTATTTTTTCTTAGATACAAAAAAAATTATCAAAAATTGAATTTTTTTACGAACGAATTTTTTTTCTAAATGGTTATAAACCGTAATAATTAATATTCACACTCAATGTTGCCAACTTAATTTCAAACTCAGTTAAAATTGTAGTTTTTTTTTTTGTTTTTTTGTGTACTACACAAATGTGACCTTTGTCAAGAAAAACACTACAATTTTTTTGGTTTTTGAATTTTTTACAATTTTAGTTTTTTCAATTGATAATCCACTATAATTCCTTTTTTTTATCTACAGATAACAATTATTTACATTTTATTTAATTTTTATGAAAAAAGTTATATACGAGGTTATATGGGGCTCAGAACTCGCGCCATGAAATTTTACCACTCAATTTTCATGTTAGTCTCGTGTTTTTTTTGTAAGATAATTTCAATAAATAATTTGGTGTGTTAAAAATGATTACAAAAATTTGAAAAAATGAATAAAATTTTGGAAAAAAGTATCGTGGGATCAAATGGGTTAATGAAAACTCTTGTAAAAATTCTAACATCATGTGATTTTTTCATGAAAAAAAAACTGTTGTAACCCTGCAATTACAACAAAAAATTAATACACTAATTTATCATTTACTGATATAGTAAGTTAGGTCAAAAATAAAT